TTAGTTTCCTAAAGTTTTAGGTGGAACACAGTTTTTAAAAAGTAATTGTTAGGGCCAACAGGAGGCGTGGCGGTTAAGGCACTGGACTTCCACATGGCTGACTACAGTTCAAGTCTTCGACCTGGCAGCTTGCTTTCTCTCTCTCTGGTCAAATTGAAGAATAATATATAGATAAAATTAAATAAATAATTCTTTAAAAATGAATATTTATTAGTCTGACACACACACATACATATAATGTAGCACACCAAGCCCATGAGACACAGATATGAACTACTGCACTGGCTGAAGACAAGGAAGTGAGATACTCTAAAGCCAAATACCAGGGCCAGCAGGCGGTGTAGGGGTTAAAGGCGCTGGGCTCCCACATGAATGACCGTGAGTCAAGTCCCAGACCCGGTGGCTTGTTTTCTCACTTTCTCTCTCTCTCTCTCTGTCTCTTTCTGATTGAAACTGGAAAATAATAATAAATAAAGTTAAATAAAATAATTCTTTAAAAAAATACCAAGAAGGGAATCAGCAGTTAGCCTAATGGCTTTGTCGCTGGACTCCCACATAGTAGACTGCGGTTCGCGTCCCGGACCCGGTGGCTTAAAACTCACGCCGGGCGTGTGTGCATGCGTGCCCAAGATCCCAAGAAGAGAATGGAGGAGAAGGGATTGCGGCGTGACCATCCCCCCTGGGGGGTGATTTCTCGCTTTCTGTCTCTATGTCTCTCTCTGTCTGTCTGGCAAGCGCACGCGCCCTATAGCAAAAACCTCTCAAAAAAAAAAGAAAATAAGACATCATAAAGAAAGCTTTTTTTTTTCAAGAATTATTCTATTTAACTTTGTTTATTCATTTTAATTTGGCCAGAAAGAGAGAAAGAAAGCAAGCCGCCAGATCCAGGACTCAAACCACAGTCAGCCACATGGGAGTGTAGTGCCCCTTATCATGCCACCTGCCAGGCCCCCCATAAAGAAAACTACTAAGGAGTCGGGCAGTAGCATGATGGTTAAGGAAGGTGGATCCCACATAGCTGATGGTTCAAGTCCTAGATCCAGCAGCTTGAAAACACACTGGACATGTGTGTGTGTGTGTGTGTGTGTGTGTGTGTGTGTGCCCAAAATCCCAAGGGGAGAATGAGAAGAGATTGCTGTGTGGCCATCCCTCCCGGGGGATGCTTTCCTTCCCTCTGTTTCTGCCTCTCCCAGGTGAGCGCACACACCCTTATAGCAAAAATTAACATATATACATAAGTATACATGTAAATAGCAGGATAAATCATGAAAAATCTAGCCAAGAATTGTGAAGATGGTGGGCTAGTGACTAAAAATTAGAAACAATAATCTATTTCAGAACACATAAAGAACCTCTAGTCCCCACGTGCCTGTGGACTCCAAGGACGAGGGCTGGCTAAATACGTCTCGAAAGCCAGACCCACAGGTGAGTGAGCTTCAGATTAACACCACTTGAGCTATAACACTTTCACAATGTCTAAAATGAGTAAGTAAAATCATCACATTTGCAAATAACACTTTTGCTGGTTCAAAAATGCCAAAGAAGGGACCAGCAGTTAGCGTAATGGCTATGTCGCTGGACTCCCACGTAGTTGACCACAGTTCGAGTCCCGGACCCGGTGGCTTAAACTCACACCGGGCACGTGTGTGTGCATGCCCAAGATCCTGAGAGGAGAATGGAGGAGAAGGGATTGTGGCATGGCCGTCTCCCTGGGGGGTGATTTCTCGCTTTCTGTCTCTCTGTCTCTCTCTCTCTATCTGGCAAGTGCATGCGCCCTATAGCAAAAACCTCTCCAAAAAAAGAAAAAAAATGCCAAAGATGACTGAGATAAACTTCAAAATAATCTCAGAATGATGTAAGTGAACAGAAATGTGACCTTGAACTTCACTTCTTCTCTTTCATCAGTCAACTAGCAACTCCTAAACGCAGGAACCTGAAATTTCCTCCATGTCCTCCACAGAATGTGGCACAGGGTTAGGTCCACTGGAGGCATTTAACAAATATACACTAAACCACGTTTATATAGCAGCTAATAAATTCATAATTCTAATAACCCATAAAAAGATACGTAGACTGAAGGAGGCTCAGACAAAATTGCACATGGTAGGAACACTTGCACTGCAGTCATACCAGTCCTTCTTTTAAAAACTATTTTTAATTATTTATTTTATTTTACTTACAGTTATTATTTTTGATTTGTTACAGGGCACATGTGCTCACCAGAGAGAGAGAGACAAAGAGAGAAAGTGAGAAAGCAAGCCGCCATGTCCAGGACTCAAACCATGGTCAGCCATGTGGGAGGGCAGCTCCCCAGCCACAATGCCACGTGCTGGTCCCCAAACCAGTCTTACCGTTGCTGTTTTATACTGCACAAGTATATTCCAAATCTGATCACCCCTCCCACAAGCTCTTAACTGCCCTTGGTGGAACCCCATTTGCGATGGCTCTGAAGCACTTGTCACTGCCAGTGCACCGTGCCACAGGCCTTCTGCACACCCCACTGTCCTTTAACATTCCATTCAAACATCGCCTCCTCGGTGAAGCCTTTCCTGATTCCCCAAAGCAAAGCTGAAGTCCTCTTCTGTGATCCCTGGGGTAGTCCAAAAGATTTCTATTATCTGGAACCAGCAGATGGTGTAATGGTTACATCATGGGACTCCTACATAGTCTACCGCAGTTCGAGTCCCAAATCTGTCGGCTTAATCTCGTGCTAGGTACATGTGCATGCATGCCCAAAAGTCCCAAGAGGAGAGTGGAGAAGAAAGGGTTGGCCATCCCCCTGGGAAACGATTTCTCGCTGTCTGTCTTTCCAGAGAGTGTACACACCCTACAACAAAAATATCTCAAAAATAAAAAAGATTTCTATAATCCTACAGTGAAGTGGCATCTGCAACTATTAATTCATGTATCTATTTTCACTCTCCTCCTAGACTCAGCCACCACTAGAAACGGTATGTTGTTCACCCCTGCACACCTGATCCGTACCATAGGGCCCGGCATACAGTAGGTGTTCAATAAACATTTGCGTACCAAACCCCTTCATTTCACCAGCCAGTGTAGAATAGTGGGCAAGGTAAGCAGTTGTTGAGGCTCAGTGCTACATTTCTAGTCACTTCAGGTTCTCCTCATTGCCTCCTCAAAATGTTTTTTGATAGTCCAGGAAGACGGCATTACTTAGCAAAGTCTTTCTAAATTCTTTGGGAAATGGATTTCTGCCCCTCCATTCTCCCCAACCACACAGCAGCAGCACCGCAGCAGCAGCAGCGCAGCCTCACTCATGGATGCATGTGCCTACAAAGCTGGAGCAGGGCTGGAGGGTTAGGGGTCACTCACCCCTCCCCCGGGGTGTAGAAAGGCTGAGGAGCGCAGTGACTTACAGAGAGGACAGAGCCAGTAAGGAGCCCTTACTGTCTATAGAGATGGTAACAGAGATAAGTCACTATTCCGGGGCCAGCATTTCATTAAAATTAAAGGTCTAAAACATTCTCCTCTCATCTAAAACAGAACAAAAAGCTTAATTATTTAAACCTAAAAAAGCATCAACCAAAACTGAACACTTCCTTGGTTATCTTAAAGAAATGCTTCTCAGCGCCCGCAGGTGACATGGTGGTTAAAGGTGCTGGACTCCCACAGGGCCAACAAGCAGTTCAAGTACTGGACCTGGCAGCTTGCTTTCTCACTTTCTCTCTCTCTCTCTCTCCCTCCCTCCCTCCCCCTCTGGTCAAATTAAAATAAATAAATAAATAAATAGAGTTAAATAAAATAACTTAAAAAAAAGAAGAAATGCTTTTCAATCGGGTTTTAATCACCAAAACTAAAATACTCATTTTTATGTTTGAATCCCATTTACTTCAAAAGAAAACTCCTAGGGACCAGCAGTTAGTGTAACGGCTATGTCGCTGGAATCCCACGTAGTCGACTACAGTTCGAGTCCCGGACCCGGTGGCTTAAAATTCACACCAAACACGTGTGAATGCCCAAGATCCCGAGAGGAGAATGGAGGAGAAGGGATTGCGGCGTGGCCATCTCCCCCCCACCCCGGGGGGGGCTAATTTCTCGCTTTCTGTCTCTCTGTCTCTGTCTGGCTGGCGAGTGCATGCGCCCTATGGCAAAAACCTCTCAAAAAAAAGAAAAGAAAACTCCTAGATAGCGATGTAGTGGTACAAGTCAGCAAAAACAAATGCAGTCACTGAGACAGACCCTCGTTGCAGGTGTAATCTGTACAGCAAATTGTAACCCTCCCACACAGAAAAGAGGGTAACGTCAGACATGGCAACTCCATGTGTGTTTCAACTACTCACTATTAAACTCACGAGGTGAATTTTAATTGTGTCGATATGAATTTCTGAATTCTCCCCCTAAAAAGATGACCAGGCTTCCCCACAACATCCCAGGTAACATCGTCTCCTAGGTCCGGCCCTTTTATCACCCACCTGACCTGCCCTGAGCAATGTGGGAGTCAGAACCCTGTCTTGGGCTGTCTGGTCCCTGCAGGCTCACAAGAGGCTGCAGCTGCTCCTGATTCCAGGGGCTTATGTGGAAAGGAAGGCTCCAGGCAACCCATTAGGGCTTTCTCAGTCCACCAGTCACTCAAGGAGGGGAAACTGGACCGCCATGGAACTCCAGAGGTCTTCAGTGACAGGTGCGGCACTGGTTAACAGCTATGTCTGTTACGCCACTACCGGTGAAGGTGAACCCTGGAAAGGCAGTCACTCCTCCATACAGCCTGCTCACAGATCACCTACTGAAAGGGTATTTCCTAGATCCCAAGGCCAAGGTGGGTTTGGCTCTCTACCCACGGAGGGAGTCAAGGGTAGAAGCCCATGGGAATGGGCGGCCGGACGCGGGACGTTGGATGAGCCCTGCAAGACGAAGTCGGCATTAGTAGGACAGGAGGTACAAAAAGGGAGCAGTGGGTACTTCCATGAACGAGAGGCTGTGCGGCCGAGGCCCGCACCGGAGCGAGTGCGCAACGCGGAAGGCGGCTGCGGAGTACCTACCCGTCGAAGCGGACGGTGCCGGTCTGCTGAGTCTGCACCCGGTAATGTTCCAGCAGCAAGCGCACCACCTTGGCGTGCCCGTTGCGGGCGGCGATGATGAGCGGCGTGGAGCGCTGCCCTCCCTGCTGGCTCACGTAGCCCAGCAGATAGCGGATGTCGCTCTCAGATCGGTTGAGGAGCAAGGCGGCCAGAGTCAGCACTTTGCCCTCGCTGGCCGCCTTGTACACATAGCCAGCCAGGCTCTCCATGGCCGCCGCCAACTCCAGCACCCGTTTGGTCGCCACCGCTGACTGTGC